CCCCTATAGAGAGACACAACGCATTGCCATGCGTCTTTGGCCATGGCATGGGGTCGGAGATGAGGGAGATCTTCGGGAAGGATAGCATCTTGGATGATGAAGAGAGCATTCTCATTGAATTGATTATCCACTGCTTCTCTAGGGGTGAAGTTGCTTCGGTCATGTGGATAGAAACCTTCTTCAATGATTCTCCAAAGATTAGTATTCACATGATTTAAATGACGCTTGTAGTGATACACCCAAGAATCAAAATCCTCATTTTTCACAATCTTAGGAGGAGGGCCGGCATGATTTAAATGAGTAGAGGGAATCGGTCCTCCATAAGTTGGAGGTTCCACATGGGCAAAGATGTCGGTGCCATTTTTACCACTAGTAGAAGGACCCTTCTCACTATTAGCTTCCCCCTTGTCGGAGTTAGCATCCGTCACCTTGTTAGTGGGATCACCCACTTGCAACAGCGAGGTAGATAGTTTAAGTCCTTCTAAGAAATTATTAAACATGCTTTCAACCTTGGTTGTCATGGAGGTTTTCAATGTGTCCAAGGCCACATTGAATTCCTCACGGGACACCGAGGTTTCCCCATCACCCGTAGACGAGATCAGATTCACACCGGAGTTCTCCTCCTCCCCACCGTCTATGGTGTCAACCATACTCTTCGGACGGCAAAGTCCTTAACAAAGAGATGAGGCTCTGATACCAATTGAAAGGATCGATATAGTTGACTAGAGGGGGGTTGAATAGGCAACTAACAATTTTAGCTTTTCTTTACCAAATTAAACTTTGCATCAAAGTAGGTTGTCTAGATATGCAACTAGGTGAACCACCTATATGATGCAACAACAATAAGCACACAAGCAAGCAAGGGATATAACACAAGTAAGCTTGCAAAAATAAAGGCGCGAGATAACCAAGAGTGGAGCCGGTGGAGACGAGGATGTGTTACCGAAATTCCTTCCTTTTGAGGGGAAGTACGTCTCCGTTAGAGCGGTGTGAAGGCACAATGCTCCCCAAGAAGCCACTAGGGCCACCGTATTCTCCTCACGCCCTCACACAATGCGAGATGCCGTGATTCCACTATTGGTGCCCTTGAAGGCGGCGACCGAACCTTTACAAACAAGGTTGGGGCAATCTCCACAACTTAATTGGAGGCTCCCAACGACACCACGAAGCTTCACCACAATGGACTATGGCTCCGAGGTTACCTCAACTGTCTAGGGTGCTCAAACACCCAAGAGTAACAACATCCGCTAGGGATTAGTGGGGGGAATCAAATTTCTCTTGGTGGAAGTGTAGATCGGGGCCTTCTCAACCAATCCCGAGCAAATCAACAAGTTTGATTGGCTAGGGAGAGAGATCGGGCGGAAATGGAGCTTGGAGCAACAATGGAGCTTGGGGATGGAAGAGGTGAGTCTTCTTGCAGAAGAAGACCCCCTTATATAGTGGGGGACAATTCCAACCGTTACCCACCACTCAGCCCGCGACCCCGGTACTACCGCACCATAGGAGCGGTACTACAGCACGGGCTTGCGGTACTACCGCGGCGGACCGCGGTACTACCGTGGACACGGCAGAGCTTGGACCTGAACAGAAGAGCACAGACAGGGCGCGGTACTACCGCGACCCTGTGCGGTACTACCGCAGGGCAGCCACAGTCTAGGCACGGTAGGCACAGATGTAAAAAATTACATCTGTAACTACCTCCGCTGAGATTTTATCGGTGCGAAAATCCGACACGGTACTACCGCGAACCAGAGGTGCGGTACTACCATGAAGGGTGCGGATGTAAAAAAATTACATCCGCCCCTACCTCCGCTCCTGCTGCTGCACCTGACCAGGCGACACGGTACTACCGCGCCGCAGCACAGTACTACCGCGTAGGGTGCGGATGTAAAAAATTACATCTGCCCCTACTACCGCTTGAGTAGCGGCGCCAGGCCAGAACTCACGGTACTACCGCTTAGGAGGAGCGGTACTACCGTGGAAGCCCACGGTACTACCGTGCCGGAGCCCGGTACAACCGCTGGCTCCTGCGGTAGTACCGCTCAGAGGAGCAGTACTACCGCCAGCCTGAGAAGAGCAACTCGAAGTCCTTCATTTCGCAGAGACAAGGTGAGACGGAGGAGAACTCCAAAGAGCCAAAGGAAAGGCGGTGCAAAAGGGACGTGTACGTGAGATTCCACCCAAACCTTTCCAAAGCGGACCCCCTCTTAATAGTACGGCTTTCCTACGACTCAACTCCACCGAAAAGAACCGTAGAGAAACGTCGTCTTCAATAATCTTCGAGGGGCGACAAATCGTCTTGTGTTTAGTCATGATATATCTGAAAAGCTCAGTACACACGATTAGTCCGCAAAAGCATTGTCATCAATCACCAAAACTACTAAGGGACAAGAATGCCCTTACAACTCGGTTAATCGAAATGGCCAAAATCGCCAGCCCAGATCCCTCCGCGCCTCCGGCTTAGTACGAGTCCACCCTCCCCACGCGGCCTAGACCTAGCCACTAGCCAACATCGGGGCACCCCACACCCGCAACCCTGCACCGCACGCAGCCACGCACACTAAGACCTAACCGCCTGCCCTACCACCCCGACTTAGCCGCCGCCGCCACTGACGCCACCGCATCTTCTCCCCACCCGGTCATCCCCCGACGCCGACTCCCTCGGCGGGTGGCATCTCCCGAGTCTCTGACCTTGTCTTCCCGCTGGCCGTCGCGTCGCCGCCCATCCATCCGCCCAACGCCCTCCCACCTTCAATTCGAGCTTGGAGCCTTCGACATCATCCCTTCATGCTGTCAAAATATGTTTTGAACTTGCATTTTCTGTACATGATCCACAATTCGGTTTAAAACCAAAAATCAAACCAAAAAATCGCTTAACCAAAATTTCGGTTAGCTCATTTTTAGTGCCTATTTCGGTTTTCACTTTTGCTAACCGAATTCCCCCAAAAGGGGACTAGTAGAAACTGAACCGAACGCCCAGACCTAGGGTGATGCATGGTTGGTCACTAGCATCGATCCGATCCATGGCACGGAGCGAAGGGATGCAACATTTTACTCCAATATTCATTCTTGGTTCCACAAGCACAGGAATATCAAGCCCTACCGCAACGAAGTCATCCGCAATTGTGGGACAAAATAGTTTAACCATCGATGGTACACCATCCAAGAGCCCGTGAGCATGTATTTCAGCCGTTTAAAACAACTAATCGGTCGATGGCCCTGGATGGAAAAATAAATAGAAAAAGAAATCTAAGAAGGCAGATCCTCCCTCTCTATCAAGAGTAAAGTGGTGCGTAAATCGCCAACCAAGTTGTTGTATGCGTTGATCATTTGACCGGATATACAACTTATTGGCTGGATATGCTCTGTGTTTTGTCATTTGACTTGATATGTACTTTGTTGGCATTGTCTTTTTTTGCTTGCCGGCTCCCGTATCTGTGAACTAGTTCCGGACCAGTCCGACTGTGTCCAATTTAAGGGTTTGCCGGCTCCCGTATCTTTGAACTAGTTCTGGACCAGTCCGACAATGTCCAATTTAAGGGTCTGCACTGGAGATGCCCTGACATGGTGCTCCACGTCGTGACACAAAACAAGTGGTGCTCCAGAGTCATTGGTCACGATATAATTCCCAGGAAGAACATACAAGCACTGCACGCTAACAATAATGCATAAATGACTACATCACGGGGGGAAGGGCAAATGCGTAGAAAAAGCAACTGGATACAGACCGCACTGTAAAACGCGCATCAGGTAGAATGACATTTTGAGAATGCAAATCAGCCTTCCTTGTCTACTCTACACGTCAAATCAATCATCACAAAGACAACAACACGGAAGGAAAAAACAGTACAGCTCTCTCATGAGCTAATGGCAATACACTGGATCAAGCGGCCGAGCATGCATAATGGCTGGTAAACTGGTGGTACAGCAAAAACCTCATCCTGTTGTAACATGAATCTGGTTTGTTAATCTTCATTCACTTGAAGAAGGATCTTGATGGACCCATCTTATTGTAACAGTTTTCCTGTGTGACAATTTTTCCCTGGTTATCTTCCCGATGGTTACTAATTCTGTGAAATAGTTCAATAATCAGACACACGCACAAAAAAAAATACTACCAAGTAAATACTCCCTCCGTTCCCAAATATAAGTCTTTTTAGAGATTGCAACAAGTGACTACATACGGAGCAAAATGAGTGAATCTATACTCTAAAATATGTCTACATACATCCGTATGTTGTAGTCTATTTGAAATGTCTAAAAAGACTTATATTTAGGAACGGAGTACATGAAAAGTTTAAATGTCAAAAAAAGAGATGAAATTTTTGGGGGCATTCGCTCTGGATTAATAACTAATTCCAAGGACAGTGAACTGAAAGTCTTAAACAAATGTAAGACGTCTTATATTAGTGTACAAGAGGGAGTACAAGAACTGCAGTTCAACAAGTGTTCCCGATTGCAACACATGGCACACAGGCATACCAAGATGAATGGCGGCGCATTATTTCATGAGTGGTCAAACATCGTTGCAACACAAAGAAAAATCACACAAACTGAACGTGGTACTGAACTGAGAACTCTCGATATCTAGTGCTGGACAGCTGGGTGGACAGTAGTGTCAAGCAAAAAACACCTGTGTTCAAGTCTAACTCATACGTCTAATGTGAGTGGCAGAGCTCATACTCAGTTTTCCAAGTTGGGTGATTAACTAGTGAATATGTAGCAATTGCATTATTTGCAAGCCATAAACTATGTCTATCTCCATTGCATAATACTGCCTCTGTACCAAAATGTAAGACATTTTTTGGTTTTGCATAGGGCATAAAAACGGCTTACATTTTATTATGGAGGGAGTATAATCGTATAAACCTACCAACATACATACAGATATAAAATTTGAAACTGAGAAGACATGCTGGGGTACCATTGTATTCGACACTTACCACATTCTATAGTTTCTCCTCAGTAAAAGTACATGTTGCAGGACTCATGCAAGAAACTTAATAGTCGCTGCATTAGATTCACTCCGTCAGAAAACAGAACATTGTTGTGCCAAAAGCTCATTTTACTAAAGAAACAAAATAGCTTACATCCATATGTTACTTTTTCTCTTCGCCGTCGGAATCAGACTCTGCGAAGACGGTTTCCGGCTGAGTTTGAGCATATGCTGGTGCAATAAACTTTGGGTCATTCTTTGCAGCATCAGCATATTTCAAAATTGCCTCTCTTGGATCTTCATCCATCCAGGTCTCCTTAATTAAACCACCTTCCTGTAACAAATAAATTGAGAAAATTATGTGTCATCAACTAAAAGCAGGTATACTCTGGGAGGAAACACACTGGAGTACACAAATAACGTAAATTTACCATACATATAAAACATAAGGGATGATTAATGTGTATATTACCTTCATGAGATACTGTGTCAGCAAGCTGCCTTTTGTTGTGCCAATTTTACCACCAAACCCTGGACCACTAACAGGAGCTTCTGGTTTGTGCGATTTGAGGGGGTCTTTCATCATCTTCTCTCTTTGGCGTTTACGGCTTGGTTGATCTCTGAATAGAGGCAGTGCATGTGGGTTGTGTATTAAAGGTTGCACCTCATAATCATCAACAGATTTTTTCCTTGGTGCTCGTCCAACACATACAAGAGCTCCCCTCTGACTAACAGAAGGATCATACAAGATATGAGTCCCACCTTCCTTCTTGTCCCCAACTGTTGCGAACACCTACAGAAATAGTAGAGGTTCAAAAACTCAATAATATCCTAAAAACAGTATTCAGCACCAGCATATCCAAGTACTAATGAATAACCTGATTAATCCTTGGGTGCCAGAGTGACCTTATCACGCTGTAATGTGGTGAAATTCCCACCCTTGATACAAGCTCTAGTTTCCTTCTATCAAAGAAGCAAAGTAGACCTCCATTTCTGCCATCTTTCTCAACAGAGGTTCCTGTAAAAATAAGTTGCTCGTCTGAACTAAATGAAGCATTTGTCTCTGCATAGTTATTAGGCAGATCGTCGAACACTTTCAAAGGAGTCTTCATTTTCCTCAAATCCCATATCTACATAAAATTACCAATGCAATACTATAATTAGAAATAATATATACAGTATAAGGAAGAAAAGAGCAATGCTGCAGTTCTTATCATTATCAAAGATTCACAAGATAACAGTAGACCCAAACAGCAAAAGTATCTGAGTCAGATAACTGAACACATTGCAGGTTGCTAGGTTGGAATCGATAAATTAGTACTAATCATGGCTAATGAACCTTCTTTTACACCGTTTTTTAATCCACCTCCCAGCAGCGGCTCTCCAAAAGCACA